ACTCGACGGCAAACAACAACAACAACAAGAAGACTGGGGAAGTTACTGGGAGGAGGAGGAGGAGTTAATGTCTGAAATGATGGAGTGGCATGGCAGTTTGGACATTTGGGACATCTTTGACCCCCGCCTCATGGGGACCGGCCTCGTGCTGATCTTCCTGAGAGAAATTGTTCAAGCAATGACCCAAAGTATAAAGTAAATATTCAATAGCCACTACTTATTTAAACAACTGAATAAATAAGTAAATGCAGAGGAGACAAATCTGTTGCAGAATTCCAAACAACTTAGACATATACTCTGCTCCCAAGGTGGAGCCTAACTCCCCATCCCTAAAGTGTGGGAAGAGCATAGGCATTTGCTTCCAAAGATGACAGTGTGGAAAGGTGGGAAAGAAAAGTCCCTTCATAGTGGAGAGACCTGACAAACACTCCCTCAGCCAGATGGAGAAAAGTCAGCATCAACAATATTAAGTCGCTAATACCACGATGTCTAACACATATGCTCTGTTGACACCCTTGATGTAATGTGACACGAATGGCACTTTACCTCTGTGGACCTTCTCCTCAAAGCCTATAAACCTGGTTTACTCATGAGGAAAACACAAGATAAATCCCAACTGAAGGACACTCTAAAAAATATCTGACCAGTACTCCTCAAAGCTGTCAGTGTTATAAAACAAGGAAAGCCTGAGGAACTGTCAGTCAAGAGGAGTCTAAGGAGACATGACAGCTGAATGTAATATGGTATCCTGGATCACAAAAAAGAAATAAGTAAAAAACTAAGAAAATCGGAATGAAGTATGGACTTTCGTGAGTAACAACATTTCAACAGGGGATATTACAGCAGGGGAAATGACGTGGGATATATGGGAATTGCCTCTACTATCTCTGCAATTTTCCTGTAAATGTCAAAGTATTCTAAAATAGAAAGCTTATGTTAAAAATCAACTCTTAAAGTGTCACTTGTATCTTTAATTTTTCTATCAGATAATCTACATAAAATCCAAGTGTTAATATTTATTTAAAAAAACTCACTTTAACTCCTTTTCTGTTTGTTGCATTTGTCTAGTTAGTGCTCCATGTTCCTTTTTCTTGGCTTTAACTGTATTTTCCTGATGAGAAAGTGACTCTTTTGTGATACCCAACTCCCTATTCACATGCTCTAACTCAGTGTTCAAAAAATGAATTTTTTTCTCATTATAATACAGTTGGAAAAGCTGCAGTTGTATCTTGTTTATTTTCAGTTCTTCGAGGAGACTTTGGTAACGTTCTGCCTGTAAAACAGTACAATTCAACAGTAGTTAATAGGAAGAATATTTAGGCTGACCTGTCATAAAATCAACTATTATTTCAACAAATAGCATCTCATGAATTTTTATTTATTAAGAAATAGTATTGTTCCCAAGAACAATATGGGGAGAAAAAAAGCCCTAAAAAGAAACAAAGAGACGTTCAGGGAACCAAGAATGACAACTGACTTTTCACCAAAAACAGCAGAAGCCACAAAACAAAGATACAGCATCAGTGAAATGCTAAAAGTAAAGGAAACAAAAGTCTTTCAGACCAGTGTCCGTACCTAGCAAAAATATTCTTCAATAATTAAGGGTAATCAAATTGACAACCCAACCCCAAAAGCAAACCTTTGCCATCGAGTGGATTCTGACTCACAGTGACTCTTTAGGACAGAGTAGAATTTCTCCTAAGGGCTCCAATGCTATAAATCTTTATGAAGGCAGACTGCCACATCGTTCTCCTTTAGAGAATCTGGTGGGTTTGAACCATCAACCTTTCAGTTAGCAACAAAGCACTTTAACCATGTACTACCAGTCCTCCCAAACTGACTGACAACAACTTGTCACAGGAACCTTAGGGGGCAGTACATTTATGTTAATGGGGGAAGGACAATTTGAAAGAGGAAGGTGAGAATGACCACACAACTCAAAGAACGTCATCAGTGTCACTAAGTGGTCATGTAGAAACTGCTGAATTGGTGTATGTTTTGCTCTGTATATTCTCAACAACAAAATTTAAAAAAAAAAAAAAACATTAAGGATAATGTCCATCAACAGACGAATGGAATAAAACAATCTGATTTGTACATACAATGGAGTATTACACAGCCATAAAGAGCAATGAAGCTCTTATGTATCCCACAACATGGATGAACCCTGAGAACATTTTTTGGAACATCATGCTGAATGAAATAAGTTAATCGCAGGACAAATACTGTATTATCTCACTTATATGAAATAAGAAAATTACAGAAGCCAAAAATTAATAGTGGGTAGCAAGAAATGTGGAGATGGGGGTGAGACATGCCCTGAAGTGTGCCAGGCCAGTAGTTGGTCTATGCAATATGTTCCCAACATCAGAAGTGGACACTGGAGCCCAGGACATTCCCTTGGGAGCTGGTCAGCATGGACGTTCTCACCCCTCAGCACACTTCCTACAGAGTAGTACATGCATCATATGTCCCCTTTATTATGCCATTCTCAAAGGACATGGGCTTGAGGGCTGCACGCCTGGAACAGCCCCAGTAGTGAGCAAACCTGTGTTAAGTCACCGTTTCTGCAGCCTAACATGTAGAGCAGACCTGAGGCCTCCTGTTCTACAGAGTTCAGAAGTCCAAAGAGCCTGAAGAAACTTCTGTTCCAGTGACAAAACCCCTTCACCCATTCCCCAGAGACCAATGGGTATGGCATGAGACCACTGTATCCCACAATGATGAAGGTGGACGCAGTACAGAGGCATGGCATGACAGCGCTGTATCACACGGTGATGGAGCTGGACGCGGCACAGTGGGTATGGCGTGAGACCATTGAACCACACAGCAGTGGAGCTGGACGCGGCACAGTGGGTATGGCGTGAGACCATTGAACCACACAGCAATGGAGCTGGACGCTGCACAGTGGGTATGGTGTGAGACCATTGAACCACACAGCAATGGAGCTGGACGCGG